TAGTTTCATGTCTTTTTTACGCTGCAGTGTCTAAAACTGCACCCAGAGCTGGAGGGGAGGCCGCACAGCGCAGAGCAGAACAGTCCCTCCCCTTGATCAGTGGCAGTGCTGGGCCTGGTGCACCCCAGGGTACGGTTGGCCCTTTTGGTGGCCCACCACATCCTGGTTATCTTGTAGTTACCCCGTGGTTGTGATCTGTTGTAATCATTTTGCTATTCTTCTCAGCCAAAAAAAAAAGAAAAAAAGGATGGCTTCGGCATATAAGACATCCGATTGTCAGGCAGCAGAACCTTGTACTTGAAGGGCACTGTATGGGGTGTTGTTGATGCACTGAGAATAAATGGGGACTTTTGGGGCAGTTTTACTTCAATCACTACATTTATTAGAAAAAAAAATACTTTTTATCTTTTTTTTTTTTGAATGGTGACAGAATGAGTCGGAATGAACCTCCCATCATGGAAGAGCTGATGCTGAGGAATTCCAGCAACCTCGCATAATTAAATCCCAACTCCTTTCAGGGCAGGGGAGAAAGCTGAAAAGGAAAACTGTTACATTACAATTTTTATACGTACCAGCAAGCTCAGAATTAGATCATCTAAAAGCTGCACTAGAGGCACTGTTTTTTCTCTTCTGTGTCATTGCATGGAGGTGTTATATAATTGCAGTTGTAAAAGGAGTCATCCATTCAGCTGTATGTGGGAGGAAAAGAGGTACATAACACACTGTGAATTCGACTGTGCAGAATGAGCCAAAAGTGATCAATTAGACACATTCTTTGTCATTACCATTTGCTCCACATACCCTATAGGGATCCCTGCCCACGACAGGTTTGTCAGGCTAAAAACGTGACTTTTGGTCATTTTTTCCCACAGTTTTATTTCTGCCTTGGCTCCCTGTGCTCAGCATTTGATATTTCTCTCTTTCAAGGTAGTAATAGCATTAATAGGAATCAGTTCAATACTGGACTGGTAATCCATGAGATCTGGGACTGAATATACCGTGCCATCTGTTCATGGCAGATAAACATTCAGTTCATACGTTTGAATTTCATGTTCTTTGTAGCTGCTCTACTGTAGATCATCATGTGAGGTCTGATACCTGTTAATATAAATTTTACCAGTTGGGTGTGAGCCATCTCCAGGCCATGGTAGGCCTTAATTGTTGTAATAAAAGAAAGCACTTCATCATCCCACTTCTCCCTAGGTTATGGTGACATTCATCATGCAGTATTGCTGACTACAGAAGTTGGATGCACTTCACAACATCCCTTCTCCCCCCACATGCCTGTGAAGAACGTATCTTCATGGTGTTTTCAAATTACCTGCCAATTGGAAATTAACCTTAATCAGCAAATCTGACGGCACAGCAAACTCTCTAACGTTTACTTTGGTGAGAAGCCCAGATATTAATCAAAGGTAGTGGTCCTTCCACAGACCCTCTGTAGATAGAATAAAACAAAGCTCTTTAGAAGCCCGAGCTCTTCAGAGGAAGCCAGACCGACGTAGCACATACTCACGGTGTACTAAAAGAGTAGTAAGTCTTTGGGCTGTCTGTACAGTATCTATGGGATCCTGGCCAAAATCAGGAGTTTCCAGCAGCTACCACAGCACCAGTTAGAAGCAAGAAGGCAACACAGACTGGAAAAACAGGAAGAGCAGAGGCAACATAAGAGAGTCAGAGGCAGAATGAGTTCCACATAACATAAAGCAGACACAGACAGATAAGACTGCAGCACTCTGTGTATATACACAGAAGTGCACAAAGATGTTCTTCCTATCTGAGCTTTCTGGAGTTCAAGCCTTTGTCCCAGCTTTGTTAGATTCTCAGGGTTCAGCTCCTGGACGACTACAAAAACAGCATCCAAGCCTGGGGTAATGTGAAAATAATGCAGCACAATCCTCTGTCTTTTCAGACTAAGCTAGGCTGTGTTATCTCACATTTTCTAATACACAAAAGAGCATTTCCATGGCTCAGCTGCCACAAGGGAATTTCTTAAGTAACTTGGCTGAATATGAGCCTTCAGACCTGGAGCTGACCAGTGCCTGTTTTATCAAATTATCTGGGAAAAGACTGACAATTTTACACATCTGTAAGCACTGCCTGCTAATATTTACCCTCTAGCAGCACAGGCAGAAATAGATGAGCTATTTGTAACTCAGCCCAGCAGATCAGGACATCATGGGAAGACTCAGAGCAGGAGTTTCCTTCTTCACTGGGCAGACACAGCCCATGTTACTCATAACTGGCAGAATGCACAAAGCAAATGGTGATTAGACTGTAATGAAAAAAAGGTCTGCATAAACTAGGTTGGCCCAAACAATTGCTTTCTCAGTAGTATGTCCAGTGTGCTGATGTGTTGAAACAGAGTTTCAAGCAAACACTTTAACATTCCCTAGATATAAACACTTTTTTTTTTTATTTACACAAAAAGAAATCAAAGGTTTTGTGTTTGTTTGGTTTTTTATTATTATTTTACTTGTATTTTTACACTAGGCTTATTTGGCTATTTCCCTCCCTTATCTAAAAGAACATTCATTTTTCTTTCACTTTTAAAAACCAAAGTGTTTCATTCCAACTAAAATCAGATATAACACTTCTGATTCCCAAGATACCACCATTCATTTTACAAATGCAAATAGAAATGTTCTTGCATTTGGATCTCTTCAGAGAGCTGCAAGATATACAGATCTGGTTGGCGGTGAAGCACAAATCTAAATGACAAATTGTTCCCCAAAAACTTGGATATTTTGCTTTCTACATAAGATCTGTTCCCAAAACTGGACTGTTGGTACTAAAACCAAATCTGTGGGAACACATAACTGTCAGAAGCATAATCGAATAGTATTGCTTTGTCAAGTAAAACTCAGTGGATCTGTGTTGCTCTTCTTTTGCCTTTGCTTCACATAGAGTAAGGTCCTCCAATTCACAAGAATTTTACTCAGAGTACAATGAGCTGCTAGTATTTCTGCTCCTTGATCTCACAGAAGCTACCTTTACTGCTCCTCTAAGTATTACACACTCTCATCTAACATAACAGCCACGGGCACAGTGACAGGAGACAACAGTAATTTGAAGATCTCACTCCCACAAGCACAGAAAATCTTGGTGTATCTACAAGTAAGTGGATTCTCTTTCTTAGCAGCATCTGCTGTCCATCACCCTCTTCTCCCTTGTACTGGGAAGCTTCTGGCTGCAGTGTTTGGAGTGCAGCTGGAAAAACCACTCCACAGGAGAGCACGCCTTCCTTAAACCTAAGTTAGTTTACAGTTTCTATTCATTCAAAATTCTATTCATTTTCAAATCAAAAGAATGTGTTTTCAAGCCAGGCAGTAATTTAATGAAAGACTGATATTTTCCACATGGAAAGCTGACATTTTAGCTAAAATGCCCTTCTGCTTTGAAAATGAAGGAATCAGAATGCCATTGTTCGCCCTAAGAACAGTCACCCCGTGATAAATCCAGCCCAGTGTGTTACTGTGGGCAGTTATCACTGCCTCACATTACCAGATCTTCTTGTAAAGGGGGTGATAGGATGCGAGGAAATGATCTCATGTTGTACTGAGGGAGGTTTAGATTGGTTATCAGGATGAATTTCTTCACAGATGGGGTAGTCAGGCATTGGAATGGTGTGTCCAGGGAAGTGGTGGAGTTCTCATCCCTGAAGGTATTTAAGGGACGTGTGGGTGTAGCACTAAGGGACATAGTTTAGTGATGGGATTCTGTAGGACAGGTTGATGCTTAGACATGACGATACTTTTCCAAGCTTAGTTTGCTACGATTCTGCTCATGCTGGAGATTCATAGCTAATAGGTTTTGGTTGCATGGGATTTGGCTGCCCTGCCACCTCCAAGGTCTCCACTCTGACAGGAAAAATATGGAGTTCCATGAAGCGGCGTCCAAAGGGATGCCCAGGAGGCCCTCAGGCAGACAAGATCTGTCCCCAGAGAAGCCTGTGTCCCTCTGTATTCCCAGGATCGAGCTCAGCAAGATGCTCTGTCCTTAGCATTCTTCCTCTGCACAGTATCTGGGACCAGCACTGTTTAACATCTTTGTCAGTGCCACGGACAGTGGGATTGAGATCACCCTCTGCAAGTTAGCAGACAACAAGCTGAGTGGTGCAGCTGATACGGTCCTACATCCAGCTCTTGGGGCCCAGCCTAAGGAGGATATGGACTGCTGGAGAGTACAAAGCGCAGAGGGCCACAAGGATGATAGACGACTGAAGCACCTCTCCTATGAAGACAGGCTGAGAGGGCTGGGGTTGTTCAGCCTTGAGAAGACTTTGCAGAGGACTTACAGCACCCTTCCAGTACCTAAAGGGTCCTCAAAGAGAGATGAGAGTATCATAGCATAGTGATAGGACAAAGGGTAATGACTTTAAACTAAAAGAGGGGAGAAATAGGTTAGAGGTCAGGCAGGAAGTCTTTACTCAGACGGTGGTGAGGCACTGGCAGTGCTGCGCAGAGGAGCTGTGGATGCTCCATCCCTGGGAGTGCTGGACTGAGGGGACTGGTTTAGAGGAAGACATCCCTTCCTACAGCAGAGGAGCTGGAACCGGATATCATAGAATGGCCGCGTTGGAAGATACCTTAAAGATCACCCGGTTCCAAGCCTTCTGCAGGGCTGCCATCCATCGCGCCAGGTTAAGCCGGGGCCCCACAGCACCCGGGTCGGAGCGGAAGCGCGGAGCTCGGGAAATCCCCGCGGAGGAGGCGGGGCGGTGCGTGACGGCGGTCAGCTGAGCGGACCGGCAGCTGCCATGGGCGCGCCGTGAGCGGGGTGAGCGCTGCCCGGGGCCGGGCCGGGGAAAAGCTGCGGCGAGCGGCGGTCGCGGCCCCCGGTGGAGGCCGAGGCGGCGGCGGGCCCGGCAGCCGGGCGGGCCGTTTTGCTCGTGCTGCCCGTAGGCGGTGACTCAGCGGCTCCGGGGTGGGCCTGCGGGGAGGATGGGCCGCGAAGGGGAAGGGAGAGAGGGAAACTTCCTTTTGCGGCTCCCGAGGGATTCCCCCGGGCCGGGGGGAGGCGATGGGGCTTGAGAGAGCGGCCGTGGCGGGGCTGGGCGGCCGCCTGAGCGCAAACCGGGAGCCGGGGAGGGAGCAAACGGGGACAGAAAGCGAAAACGTCGGGTGGAGCGGTCGGACTGTGAGACCCAGGCAGGGCAGTGCCTCTGTGGGACGCTGCTGGGTACAGAGAGAAGGGAGCCGAGGGGTCTGTTTGCGTGTTGTTCTCAGAGGGTGGGTCTGCCAGGGAAAGGCTCCGTCTGAAAGGTGGGTTGGGAGTCAAACCCATACCCACCTCTGAGGGGTTAACATGTTATATAGGGCCATGGGTGGTCTGGTGTAGTGGGGTTGGAGGGTTGGATGGTCTGTGTGCTGGCTACGGGTGCAGCTTGTTTCTCTGGGTAAAACCAAAGTATGGCTGTATGTTCTGTCCCTGTCAGCGCTGCTGAGGCCGCACCTCAGTACTGTGCTCAGTGTTGGGCTCCTCACGAGAGGACCTGGAGTGTGTTCAGAGAAAGGCAGCAAAGTATTGAGGGGTGTGAAGCAGCTGAGGGAGCTGGGATTGTTCATCTGCAGAAGAGGAGGCTTAGGGGAGAGCTTATTGCTCTCTATAACTGCCTGAAGGAGGTTGTGATGGGGGGTGGGGGTTGCCCTCTGCTCCCAAGACACAGCGATATGATGAGAGGGAATGGCCTTATGTTGCACCAGAGGAGGTTCCAGTTGGATACTAGAAAGTTTTCTTCTCAGAAAGAGTGGTGATGCATTGGAACAGGCTGCCCAGGGAGGGGGTGGAATCGCCATCCCCAGAGGTGTTCAAGAAGTGTAAGAGAAATGGGTTAATGGACATGGTGGTGGTGGGTTGACTGTTGTTGGATTAGATGATCTTGTTGGTCTTTTTCAACCTTAATGATTCTGTGATTTATTTAGCAAAACATTTTCTTTGCTGACCTTGTAGTGGTCACTGCAGAGATGTCCAGCAAGCCACAGATCCGTCCTGCTGAAAATGGAGAGCATTGCAGGAGTAAAATGGAGAATGGAATGGACAGTGTGGCTCCCCCCACCCTCAGTACCTACACACCCGAAGAGATGGTACAGCAGATGAAAGAGCTGATCACTGAAAACAACGAGTTAAAAGGTGAATGTGAATCAGTCTCTTCTCCGGGTCCAAATCTCTTTTTGATCTATGAGTTCTGTGTTCATTTGGTCTTTCTAGATAATCTTTTATATCTGACTGGCAGTCACTCTATAAGCAACTCTGCAAGTAAGGCCGATTTGATAGGGCACAGCACATTAAATTGGTATGGAAGATTGGAGTGAGAATACCCCCTAAGCTAAGCTTCAAAACTACATACACAATCAATATAGCGCTGTGTATTTTGGGAGGCAAGGTAAAAATATGCTCTTCAATCATCAGCTTTGAAAAGGTTTTTTGATTTGTATCTTAGTCAGGTCTCCCCATTACAGATCAACAGTTTGCCATGGCTGCATCAGCAGGGTGGGTACTGTACAGTTGTGTTAGGATGCTCTCTGAAAGGAGCTGTATCCTCACAGAGGAGGGAATTGAAGCAGGCTGTCCTGTGCTGTTGTGTAATAACTGTCTTGAAAGTTCAGATGTTGCAGCACCATCTGTGCTGCAAAGTAGCATCCATGGCTGAGCCTGTCTGGGAGAAACCAATAGGTTTCCCTGAAAACACATAACGATTAACACCTTTTAGATAATATAGCTATGATTATCTGGCAGGAAGGTTGCTTCCAGAAGCACCCTAGGTATTCTACTACAAGGCTCTGTAGCATTCAAGATAACGTTCCAGGACAACAATCACAGCTGCTGTAACTCACGCCTCACAGGATCATTCTCCAGAGTTACCTTTGCTTTTTGGTTACATGAAGGACTTTTTGACAATTTATAATACCATGTGAAGACATAACATCTGTTTCTGGAAGATACAATGTATATAGAAGACTTTCAAGCTACTGACTTTGAATTTGTTACTTTAAAAACCAAATCTAAAATACTTTCATTGGCTTCATAAAGATCTTGTCAGCGTTTTGCAATAGTGAGACTGGAGTTGCTGCACACTGACTCACTGACTTTGTTACATACACTTGGCTTCCTAGTCAGGATGAAATGATATTGCTCTAAGTTGCCAGTTACATTTTTGTTAGTGCTTTTAGTCAAATCTTAACTGAATATTCAAGCAGAACATGGTTGGACATATTTGAGACTTTCAATTTAATAGCAGCTGTTTTCATGCATTAATTTACAACTCTAGAAAATACACTTTCCCTACTGAATCTCAGTAGTTTCAGAATCTTTGTTCACTAGTTTCATTTGTGTTGATTGTGTACATAACACGTGCGAGATGATGAGTACTTCTTGTGTGCACTACTTCTTGCTTGTAGTTCTTGGTTTAGAAGTCAAGGAGCGAGAGAGTGTGAGCATGTTATTTCAGCAGTGGTTTTAGTGGCATTTATTATAGTGCTAAAGAGCTATAACGAGTTTCATTTCAGTTCACTGAGACATATGAGAAGGTGGTTTGCATTTCATATCTGGTTGCTGCTTGTCCCTTTGATATTGAAGAAGGCTGAGCTCGATGTAGAGGAAATCTGCTGTTTCATTGACAGAGTACTGATGTGAATCAATGGCTTGTCTCTGGCTGTCGTTTAGAAGCGATGAAGTTGCACAACCAAGCAATGAAGGACCGCTACGAGGAGCTCTCCATCTGGCGGGAGAAGCAAAAGGAAGAACGAGAGTTTTACGAGACCAAGTTTAAAGAAGCCAAGCAGTGCTTGCTTGCCAAGTGCGTTGAGAATGAGCAGCTGCAGCAACAACTTCAGAGCTTAAAGGAAAGAGAAGAAGGAGCTGAAATGGTAAATAAGAGAAAGATGAATTCACATACATTAACAATGAATGTTAGGATCTTTTATGGGCGAGGGCTGGAGTTCTGTTAGCGTTCTCCTTTTTTATCCTTATACTCTAATGAAAAGTCTGGGACTTATTTTACAAAGCAAGTCTTTTGGTGCAGTAAGATAACAACATGTCACACATGAGATAACTGATATTTCAATTAATAATTAACAGTAATCATTAACACTATCAACATAAGAAATAAATTAACATTTCTTGCCAACTTCTCATTCTGCATCCTGTTTATTATGGGGTTGACTTAATCCCTCCCTTTCCTTCTTAGATTATCTCTCTCAGCATAGTTTTATATTTGTGTTTCTAGAGTCAAGCTGACATGTAACCCCTGCCACCACCCAAAAAAAAAAAGTTCTATTATTCTTTCACCTATTCTGAAAGCCTTTTTACTGAGGTTCAGATTAGATTTGTTCTTCAGCTGCTGTTTCTGGCTGAGCTTTCTCCCCCTTGTCTTACGTTTGGCTCTGTAGCAGGTAGTTTCTAACACTGCAGGTGAGTGCTTAACATCCAGGTAGCATCAGTTTGCCAGCAGTACCAAAGACACCACAGAGTGTGGTAGAACAAAACCTACTTTGTGTCCCACACATGAAGAGATGTTTAACAACAAGTTTCATGTAGCACTAAGTCAGTGAATCCTGGCACGTGGTACTTTCAGAACTTGTGTGGGTTCTCCGTTGCCCACTGAAGGATGACTGTCTCAGCCTTTTTCTCCATGGCCGTTGATAGGCTGTCTTTTCCTCTCATGTGCTTGTTTTATGGAACTCTGGAAGAATTCTTTCAGGATATAAATCGGAATTGGCCAATTGGTTCAAAAGTTATTAAGGGGAAAAAGGTCGTGTATAAACAGTGTGATTGTGCAAGTATGGCTTTGTTAGGAAACCAGGCTAAAAGTTGTTTTTCAGGATTGTCAAGGAAGTTCAGAATTTCATAAATCTAGAATAGATTTTAAAGGAAAGTGGGGTACTTGTTCTGCCCATACCTGTTTTAGAACTTCTTGTACTTTGGACACTTTAAGTGTGTTATTGATGGAGTGATCCAATCTCCTTGAGCAATCCAATGCCCAGACAAGTAAAAATAAATCTGTTAATTATCTCATCTGTAAGAGCTCCATAAAGTAAGCCTTGGTTCTCTATTGATTCTTTGCAGTTTAACCAGTTAGTGGTCATGGTAATTAAGACAAAAACATTCTCATTTCTGACCATGATGTTCAGACTGACAGTGTCATTTAAGCCACAACAAATTTCTCTACTGAATGCTTTGGCCATACTTTAATTTTTTTTTTTTAATTATTATTTCTAAACACTAAAAACTATTTATCTGAACTTAGAAGAGGCTAGCTACAATTGGTCTGATTTCTCTCTCCTCTGTGTTTTACTGTTTACTGAGATGGATTATAGTCTATTGTTGCTGTAGAGTGGCACCTTTGTTTCACTCAAAGGAAATCACAGATATGTACTGTTGCTTCCCTCAGTGAAAAACTATTACTCACAGGAGGGTTTATCTTAAAACCATACATCTGGGAGCCCTGGTGGATATAAAACTCCCTCCTATGCACTGAAGCTGACTTCTTCTGCATCCTCTCACAGCTTGAGCACAAAATCATAGTGACTCAGGTGTGTATGGGAGTACTGCAACAGCAGACACTGTCAGTGTAGCACAAATTTAGATTTGGCACGAGTGATAGATTAGAACGTCATTTGAGCTGCATGAGTTATTCAGAGTTGATATTGAGGGTGTATGGTGTATTAAAGCATTACAATATTACAAGGAGGCTTGGATTACAAAATGGGGAAGAAACAAATGCACAACAACAAATGCAACTTTTTGTTGTCTGGTGAACCAAAGCAGTTTAGAGATCTCTGTACTGGATTTTCCCAGGCAAACTTCAAAACAGAAGAAGAGCAATGTAACGCCACTGTTATATTCAGGCTCTGCATTCCTTGGCTGCTGTTTCATTTTGGTTGGTTAATGCAGGTGTTTGTTTATCCCAGGAGGGCTGTGCAGCTCCCGAGAAGGAAGCGAGGCAGCTCAAGTCCAAGGTGCAGCGGCTGCAGGCTGAGAAGGCAGATCTGTTAGCCATCATTTCAGAACTGCAGGTCAAGCTGAACATCGCCTCAGCAGAAGACTCCTTTGTGGAGATTGGGATGAATGTAAGTAAAGGGAACAAAATGGACATGGTGAGCTGCAGCCAGAAACTCTGTTCCCAAGTTGGTCCTTTTTGCAAATTGGGTTTTCTTATTGTGCCATGCTAACTGATGAGAAAGTTGAGTGATTAAAATGATGGTGTGGTTATTTACCCAAATGCATTTTTACATTGAAGACTTGTCTTCCATTAGTAAGCAGCATGAATCTATACCAACAGTAATTATATATATATACACTTACATATTTGCCTCTTTGAGAAGGAATACTAAACTGCCAGCAACAGTAGTAACACAAAAATACAGACACAGTGAATCTGGAAGAAGTGTTTCATGATCTTACCTGATGTGGAACACCTGTATGTTACAAGACATAGTGATAAAGGACTAGAGAATTTACTTTTGTTCTTTCACTTTCCTTGTCTAAAGTAAGTTTTCATAAAGTCACTGTATAATCAATGAATTTATGGTTGTTATAATTAAGAAACATACGAGAAAGTTGGGCTAAACAAGTTATCACACTAAAGAAGAATGGATAGAATGCTTACCCTTGTCCTGGGCTCACTGAGAAGACTTCAAGGGGAGCAATCCTCAAAAGTGATCCTTTCCTACTGGTAGTCAGCTCTTAAATGGGGTCTGGGAGAGGTGGAGCAAGGCTTCACCTTGAATTGCTTTCACCTGTGCTGCCCTGGCTGACTCATTGCTCACCTCAGGTGGTCAATCAGAGGTTTAGGCTGTGATTCAGCAGTTCCCATACAGTCACAAAATGTCCCAAGTTGGAAGGTGTCAGACACCAACTCCTGGCTCCACACAGGACCACCCAAAATATAAACCCTATGTCTGTGAGCATTGTCTAAAATGCTTCCTGAACTCCAGCAGCTTGAAGTCGTCACTGCTGCCCTGGGCAGCCTGTTCCAGGCCCACTGCCCTCTGATGCAGAGCCTCTTCCTCACACCCCTGCCCTTTCACAGCTCCATACCATTCCCTTGCACCCTATCACTGTCACCAGAGAGCAGAGCTCAGTGCTGTCCCTCCGCTCCCCTCATGAAGAATGGGGCTCCTTTCTCTGCTGGCAGAAATACACAGGTGAAGTCAAGCAAATCAAAATCTAAAGTTGTAGAGTGTTCCCTAAAGGCACAAAAATATTATTTTTCTACTGTTCTTGTATCTGAGAAGTCTTGAGAGGAAATAGGTGAAATGTGAAAGTGAGGGTTTCTGCTGTCTTCACAATAGCACGTCCCTCTCTGGCAAGGATAAGTGCAACAGGAAAATCACAGAATTTAACATTTAGTTGGAACTGTTAGAGAAAACTTCAGACTGCAGGAAAGCTTCCAGGGTGCTTCTCCTTTTTCTGCTACAAAGATCTTCCTTTGGACTCTGAAGATCACAGGGTGAGCTTTGCAGTGGGAAAGAGGAGCTGTATTCAACATCTGTTGGCAGTGGTGGTTATTGTTGCTGTGTCATCGTTATAAGAGAAACTGACTGGGGAGGTTTGTTGATTTGAAAGAGAAGGCCTAATCTTGTTGTTCATATTCTTTAATCAGTCCTGAAAAGATGCAGGGAAAGGCATGTGAAATATGTAAGTTAAGAATTTGCAAACATTAAACTGATCTGTAGGACTTCTGTGTTTTGTTTTTTATTGTAGTTCTTCCTGTTTTTCTTTCTTCAGTAAATAAAACTGCCCTTCTTAGTTCAAATACCAAACTAATATTTGGGGGGGATTTTTTTTCTTTTTTAGGAAGAAGTAAATAGAACTGCAAAAGAAAATCAAGATAATAGCAGTGAAGTGGCCACTAACATCGCTGTCTACATGTATGTAGGTTTTTGTCTGATTCAAACTTCTGCAGTGTGTTGTTCCCAATGTAAGGGAAGCATTTTCTTTGAGCAACGTCACTCCTGGTTTTTCTGAGGCCTTGCATCCCTCCATTGCTCTGCCTTCCTACCATGTTGGAAAGACACTCAGCTCTCAGGAATTTTGCCTTCCTGCTTCCACTGGCTGACAGGACAGCATGTACAACTGGTCAGAATATGCACTGACTTCCAACTGGCTGCTACTTTTCAGGTTTTTAATGTAGTCCAAAAAGGAAAGATAAAGGCTCCCACACATGCAGTCACTCTGAACTCTATTACAGTATCTGTCCTCTACTCAATTATAATGATATTCATAACAGAGTTCTTGTGGCCTTTCAAACCTGAACCCTTCTTGCTCAGTTTGTTAGTCTTTGGTATAAACTGTGGGGTTTAAATCATGATGGGGTGGGCAGATAGTGCACTGTCATTGTTTTTTAGGTGACTAGACATAAGATGTGAGCATTCTCTCTCAATTACTTCTCAAAATTTGATCTTTACATCAGCTCCAGAGCATAAGGGACTTTCTTGCCCCTAGCTGAAACTTTACACCTCGTGGACACAGACAGCTGACACCATTAAACTTTCCATTTTGGATACTGCCCAATTTAAGAGCTAGATGGTTGTGGCTGAACACTCCTAATCCACTTCATGGCCTTTGCTTTTGGAAAGGGGGGATATAGAAAATTCAAAGGGCATAGCAGGGAGAAAGCTATTTTCTGTGTATGTTTTCCCTTAAGCTCTGTCACCCCCTACCTCATTGCAAAGAAATTCAGCATTTTAATAACATAGAAGACTTGTCCCTCACCATGAAGTTAAGAAGTTGAAGGAAAAAAATTAGCTATAGTCAGGGGTGTAACAGAGGAATGCTGAACATAGGCCAGGCTGCAAGCATTCAAATCGTCATTAGCAGTGGCCTGTGAGAATACTCTGATCTTAAGATGTTGTCTGTGGGATTTGCTTCCCTTTTGGTGAGTATTTGCACTATGTCTACAAAAACAGAGAGTATAAATATCTCTTACACTATTTCCTGTGTCACCACATGTCTCTGTGCAGCACTGAAACCTTAGAGTGGTGCTGTTAACAGCTTCAGAGGAATGTGATCCACTCGGGATGGGTTTATTTCTGTCATTGTAGACCTGTACACTAAAACTCCCCTGATATAAGCTGTTTGCTTAAGATATCTTGGCTGAGCATTCTCTTTGGGGTATTGAATTTTGCTCACCAAATGTATATAGCTCACAGGAGCATATGCAGGCCTGTGCTTTAGTTTCTGCTCTGAACTACAAAAAACAAAGTTGTACATAAATGCTGTTTCCCAGCTGAGCTTTTGAAATATACAATGTGTGTAACCTATGTATCTTATCCTATAGTTAGGGGATTTTGACCTTCTGTCTGGGTAGACGTGAAAGTGGAGGGAACAGAATGCAGTATGGTATCACCAGGAAATCAACAGACCCTGTATTTCAGAGTTTTGTAATTGGTTTGGTTTATTTCTGTGGTAGCATGTGCAATTTTTCAAAAGAGCTACAGAATATGATGGAAGCAAAATATCAAAGGAATTCCTTCTGAGAAAGGAAGCAATTTCCAATGCCCATTTTTAGTGGAACGTGCCTTCTTTTCCTGGAAAGGAATGAAACTGAGATAAGAAATGTTTCATTGGAAAAAATATTTTGGGACCAGGTAATAGCACTTAGCAGAAGGAGACGCACAGTAGGTCAGAATAAATGCTCCAAGCTTTGTTTTGTCTTGACTGTTTTTATTTATCTTTTTCTTAAATCCCAAGCTGTTCACCCAGCTTGATAAAAAGAGGCTGTTTGAGCACTGCAGAAAGCAAGGGCTGTGTTTACATGCTTAAGGACTTAGGTTAGTGGGATGCAGGAAGGTCATGCTTCTTGGGAACGAGCTCTTTGCACAGAATGTTGATTTTTTCAGAACTGTGTGAAATTGCCCAAAAATTAGGGGTAAGAGAGTGCTCTAATAACATCATAACTTATTACTTACATGTGGTTTGGTTTGAAGCAGGAGCAAATCTGCAGATGAGTCCAAGAATTTGGAATCTGAGGAGCTGACTGTGAGCCAGTTACTTTGCTGCCTTAGAAATGAAACTGAGAGGAGGGAAAAACTTGAGAAGGAGCTGCTGGATCACAAAGAAAGGTATGGATTAGGTGCACTGCAAAGTTTTAATCTGTTTACGTTCAAGTCTGTTGCAGTTCCCAACTTTGGGCCTGATCAGAGTGAACTATCAGTGTGAATGGGCAGTTCACACAGTGGATGGGCAGTTTCCTGAGCACTCACTAGTAATCATGTTTGTCGTAGCTCTGATAGGGGTAAACCACGTTATGTTCTGTGAGCACAGCCTTGTCTGTCTTATTACTTCCTATCGTAGCACAGATCAAGACAAATTACCTGTTGCCCCATGGTTTTGAACTTTCCACAGGTGATGTGAAACAAATCAAGGACTAGCTGAGAATGTTCTTCTCATTCCTCTCATTATTTGCTTTTGTATGAATCGTCTATGCATGGGGCTTAAGCACATCACTTTGTATTGAACAGATGTTACAGCCCTCTTGGTGGTACTGGTAGGCTATGTTTAGGGATGTGAGCTTGGAAAAGCTCCTTAGAAATGCTTCCCAAAAGTTTAATTCCAGACTTACCTAAGAGAGTTTTTCTGGTGAGACCTGCATAAATGTCCTTCTCAGCTCAGTCATAAATGTATCAGCATGGCTGTTCAGGCATGGAGAATTGCCTAAGCAGTAGCTGTTCCAAGTCCATAGTTTGCAGAGACAGTAAGACTTCCTGGACAGTGCTTATGATGGTTAGTGTCACAGTAATTGTTTCTGCGTGGTCTTCCTAGAAGAGGTAATGAGCCATAGCCAAATGATTCGTAGAAATTTCAGCCTCTGTAAAGATCAAAGGAAAGTAGAGGCAACATTAATCATTGGGTTCAGTGAACAGACCCATTTTCAGAGGATTAGCAGTTTTGGACTGTATCAAAGATTGATGACAGTGGACTGAATCATTGTCTTTCTCTGCACCTGCACATCCATTGTAATTAAATATACATGCTGGGTGTTCTGTGTTAGATGCTGCCTTGACTGTGCAAACTTTCCTGCATGTCTGTACTTTCAGGTTTTTCTTTGGTTCGTGGCTATGATGTTAGAAGGACTTGGATGAAATCCTTGAACAGTCACAATTTAACTATTGGCCAAATCCTTTGTTACTGGATTCTTCTGTTTTCCAGACTTTCAAAGATGGAGAATGAAACAAGCAATTGCCTGGAGAGTGGGACGCAAACTAACCAGGAAGAAGAGAGTTCAGAGACTGTAAGTACCTGTCAGCTTGAGCTGGGTTTTAGCAGTGTACAGCTTACTTGTTGAGGCCAACAACTTTGGGTCTAGATTTCCACTTGCACACAGAGAGCAAGGGGCAAATATCTTGCGTGAGCTGCAGAAGTGAATTTTGAAGTCTCCAGTCCATATCTTAAAGGAGATTCCTTCCAAATTACACCAGCCATGAAAAAGGGATAAGACTGATGGCTGAGAATTAGGGAAACTGTAGCATAACTGCAGGTATGCTTCACTGTTCTGGCCCTATCCACTTCAATAGAGGGAGATGCATTCATTTCCATCACCACAAAATCTTCTGAACTGGATAAATTTCCTCACTGCTGGCTAAGTCAGCTTTTAGATCAGAATCTACTGGCAGCCTCCTCCAACACAGACCCTATATGTGGAGCTCATGTGGCACCTGGTAAGACGTATTACAATGGTAGAATGTAACTATCTTGGATTGCAACACAGATTCAGGCAAGTTTAGCCTGGTGGTTTCAGTTTAGGCTTTGAGTGGGTACTGGGGTTGGATTTCAGCTCCAGATTCATCCATCTAAATTTATGTGCCTGCAGTTGTTGGCTTCTCCATGTGGGGTAAGTGTGTAAAAATTACAGAAGGACAGAATGGATGAGATTGGAAGGGACTTCTGGGTTCATCTGGTCCAACCTCTGCTCAAGCAGGGACTCAGAGCTAGTTGCCCAGGATCACGTCCAAGTGGCTTTTGAAAATCTCAAAGGAGGAGAGTCTACAACCTCTCTGAGCAACCTATGCCAGTGCTCCATCATCCACATGGTGAAGAAGTATTTCCTAATATTTAGATGGAACCTCTTATGTTCCAGTTTGTGCCATTGCCTCTTGTCTTAGCACTGGGCACCACTGAAAAGAGCCTGGAAAGTTTCTGTGACAGTAGAGACCCCTTCTAGTTCAATACAACTGCGTAATAAAGGCAAGTAGGAGTGCCTGTGAGGCACTGTTGGGTTGTCTGAGGTGCTGTGTGGGGCTAGAAAATATGATATGAGATCTGCTGGAGACCTGTGCCCTTTGAACTTTAAAAAAGCTTCCCCTTCTCCTATCAGTATCAGACTGTGTAAGAAGTTGGTCTCCCTCCTGTTCCTAAGATCCCCAGTGTGGGGATGTATTTTAACTACTGAAACCCTGAGGTGTCTCTGTGCACTGGGTTGGAGGAGCACACTGCTGCTGTTTCTTTCCTCCCCCTGCTTTTGGCCTGTCTTTTGCATCTTTCATTGGTCTCAGTCCAAAGCCCAAACAAAAGAGTCAGACCCTCAACAAAACTGGCAGTAGTCTTACTAGAAATCTTTTTTTCTTGATTTGCAAAATTGATTCATAAATGAATGACAGTGAAATTTGGAGTAGGAAACTAGAATGGAAGGGGCATTACCAGTGTAGGATGTAAATGGCAGGAGGAATAGTACAGTGTTTTAGCCTGCCTTCTTCTCTATTTGTAAACTGCTGTTTCTGTTCTGTGTCTGCTGTCACACCTCTTTCTAAGGAGGCTACCAGTGGTAGGAGATGTTTGACAGAGGACTGGCAATAATCACTGGCTGTCTGCTTTTCCCATGTGTTTTAAATCTGAAATTCTGAGAAACAATGTATGCGGGTCGCTCTGAAAGTAATACCTCCTAATTATTTCCGTGGAAACTACAGCTGCTACAAAGAGCACAGTAACACTGTTTCATGGAGCAAATTCTCAGCTATAACACACTTCCTCAGCAGTCACCGTTGTTAGCTCTGCACTTTTGCCAATGATGAACAAGGGCATGCATGCCAAGCTGCAGAAAACCTGCACCAGAGGAGGTGACCCACTGTCACCATTGCAGAAACACCACGCACTGCCTCACTGTGCTCACATCCACTCCGTAAACGTTCAGTGAGTGTCAATGAATATCAATGGATGCAGTTTTTTCTGCGTGGAGGAACTCAGTGACACACCTTTGCTTCATACCTCCATATCAGACTCTGTTTTGTCACTGCCCCTTTGCTGACATCCATCAGCCATTCAGTACCTAAAAGGAGCCTATAAACAGCAGGGGAGTGAACTCTTGGAAAGGGTAGATAACTGCAGGACAAGGGGAAATGGTTTTAATTTGAGGGAGGGAAGATTTAGGTTGGATGTCAGGGGGCAGTTCTTTACAGAGAGAGTGGTGAGGTGCTGGAACAGGCTGCCCAGAGAGGTTTGGATGCCCCATCCCTGGAGGTGTTCAAGGCCAGGTTGGATGGGGCCCTGGGCAGCCTGGTCTGGTATTAAATGGGGAGGTTGGTGGCCCTGCATGTGGCGGAGGGGTTGGAAATTCATGATCCTTGAGGTCCCTTCCAACCCTGGGCATTCTGTGATTCTGTGATCACACGGCAACAAGATGTAATGGAAAAGAATATTGGTGGGAAGTTTCAGCCCCTACTGCCATACCATCAATGTCAGCCTGTGATGTCGTGGGCCAACATAATCAAGTAGGAGACGTTACTTTCAGAGTAGCCCTTGGATTACCTGCCTGCATAAGAAGAGTATAGAGTTCTCTTTGAGTCACCCAGATTTTAGGAAAGTGTTAAAGTCACAGTGTGTTTCTGCCACATTTAGGAGGAATTGGTAATTGTGAAGCTGAGCAGAAGGGACCTTACTGCTGAGCATAGAGTGTAATGGTGCAGACTGACTCATGCTATTTTCTCTGGAAAAAGAACAATGCTTTCTGGTTAAAATTCTTAGTTAGCCAGCAATTTTTCTGTCGTGAGTTGTCCATGTGTAATTTTCTTTATTTTTTTTCCAAAAGATTGGCAGTGAAGTAGAAAGTCTGAAGAAGCAAGTTTGTGCCCTCTTTAAAGAGCTCCAAGAGGCCCACGAGAAGTTAAAAGAAGCAGAACTAATTCAGAAGAAACTTCAAGAAAAGTAAGGTTCAGAAGAACAATAATTGTGCTGTGACACCCCATTAATATTTTAATGAAAACTCCCACCTTGGGAAACTCAGAAGCTCTACAAATAGCAAATACCCGTTTCATGGAAATGCTGCAAAAGATTGCATCTTTTTAAGTGAAGATGAAAGTACAGAAGTACAGTAATTGTCATAAAATCAGAACTGCTAACCTAGTTCTACAAATAGAACCCCAGTGCTTGGAATTTTAATATTTGGGTTTTAATCCTTGTTGATATAAAGGCAGATCTTGTTTTCTGTTTCGCATAATCGCTCCATTTTTTGGCCCTGGGGGAAGAAGCTAAGGGACCTAGTTACAAACCTTCTCACACAGTCTGTCTGTGCTTTTGAAGACCAACGTGTAGGTCTTTAAAATTGGAAAGAAGAGCTTCAATTTGTTTGCTTAGTTTTCTGTCAAATTTCAGTTCTTTGAGGTTCATAACAGTAAGAAAAAATGCATTCCATTTAGTAGCTTTATTTTCAAGTAGTTGTGTGTATATATATATTTTCGTCTTTCCTTTTTCTTCATCAAAATAAGCCTTTCAAGTGAAGCACCTAAAGATTCTTTTTGTGTGATGCCCTTGTGCCAAATCCATCAAGAGAAGGTGAACGGGATAGATCAAGTGTTTTCCTTCTTTTCCCTTCTTTTGTCAGGTGCCAAGCATTGGAAAGAGTAAACTCAGCTGCTGCAATGGAATTGGAGGAGAAGCAGCAGCTCATATACACCATCAAGAAGCTGGAGCTTCAGGTGGAGAGCGTGCAGGCAGAGGTCAAGCTAGAACAAGCCAAGACACAGGACGAAAAGTGAGTATTGGTTGTGTATCATGGGGGGATTATTGTGAGAAAGGGAAATGAAGGGAACATGATGAAAGGGAATTTGAATCTGAAATACGAGTTTTGTGTTCTACACAGTTTGAAGCCAAGTTATGTTTACAGAGTCTTAAGTAGAAACCTCTGCATCTGTCTGTGTCACTTTGAATCTGGAGTCTCCAGAGTCTCCCAAACTGTATCTTTTTGTCTAGTGAATACCTCACAGAGGAAAATTTGAGCTGTAAGCTCTGATGGGTATCTTCTTTTTGTTGTAAATATGCAAGTAGAGGAAGCAGAAAAAGGACAGCAGCTTGTCAGTTTGACTGGCAGGGGGTGAATGCATCCACAGGTTGGAGAGTAGGGCCAAGTCAAGCGATGACAGTGATGGGAAAGCGATGTCAGTGGTCTCTACAATACCCTTGCAGTTAGAAGAGTTAAATGTGAAGCTGAAATAAAGAGGCTGGCTGTTTGCTGCAGCTCTCCGCTCCCTTTTATGAGCAGTCCATGTAAGGAGTGTGAGAATGTCAGAGTGAGCTGTATGGAGACGTGGAACTGTCTGAAGGCACCGTCTTCAGCTGCTGGAGAAGCTGCTCATTCTGCTCATTCCATTTGGAGTCTGTTCTTCTCCTGATAAATTCTTCATCATTTGAACTCTCTCAGTCAAGACTGGTGAGCTTGATTGTAAAATTATTGGATGATAGATTATTTAATATGACATGCAGGCTATCAGTAAGGACATTTGTTTGGACTCAGTCTAGGGATGGAGCAGCACACAACTCCTTGGAAGAGAGATGCTGAAAAATGGAGCACAGTTTTTTATCATCACAAATGCAGATTCACTTCCTAACAGCTGGGTTATCTATTCTAAAGTCTGAAAGATTGATATTTGTGTATACATTTTTAACTCTTAAACCCTTATGAAACTGAGACTTTCTGAGACTGTTTAGGAGACTGTTTAGGAGAGAAAGAAGTCTTCAGCTGGGACAAGTAGGATAGTTCTGCAAAATAGATAGTAAAAAGAGTACCAGATCTTTCAGAGAACTTTTAAGTGTTTCAAACATTTGTTTCTTTTCATAAACAGGACAAGATACAGTAGCTTGCAGGACGCTTACAACAAACTCCTTCCTGAACTCACTGAAGCAATGAAAACAATCAGTGAGATGAAAGTCAAAGAGGTAAACTCATCAACAGAAGAAATCGTAATGATTTAGGGGGGAGTGGGAAGAAATGTGAGAATGCATGTGGGAATAAATTCAAGCCCAGAACACATGGGCCTGAATTCACATAATATGACATGTAGCCTGGCAGCATGGCTTTGAGAAACAGAGATCCTGTGCTGTCAATTACAGAAATCTTATCCACATATCTGGACTTCGCTGTTCTGGATAAAGATTAGTCTACAGTGCATTATGAAGTCCAACCCTTAGAGAACGGTGATATGAAAATGCATGGAAGTGTTCCTGCAGCATAGCTTGTAAATGTAGAAATGTAGAGTTCTGAATGTTTTAGTATTCTTAAATATAACATCTACCACAGTGAGGTCCTGTTCATAACTGAGGATCCATGCAAGTGCAAGATTCTTCTGTATCATTTTGGAAAAAATCCTTTGCAGTGTTCATTTGGGAGCTCTGTTTTGACTTGATACCGTGTAGCTGAAAAGCACAAAAATAATCTTTCAGTTGAAAGATCAATCAACATTGCTATCTTAGGGCAGGCCCCTGTGTCCATGGAGTTGAAAGTTTTTTCCCACGAACAGGAGGATTAAGTAGCAAACTTCCACTCAAAGCAGAGTCACATTCTGAGCTCGTCTCAGTCTTAATTCTTCCTTGCAGCTTGACAGGGTGGATAAAGTTGTGGTGGAAGAACTGAATGCAAAGGTGTTGCTGGCAGAACAAGCTCTTGCTGCAAAGCAGCTCCAGATGGATGAAATGAAGCAGCTAATTGCTAAGCAAGAGGAGGACCTTGAAACCATGGCTGTGCTCCGTGCTCAGGTATGAGTCCTTCGGAAACTGGCTGGTTTGCTCACCCAGTATTCAGAAACCAGCAGGAGCTATTTAATGGCTCGGTCTGGAATAGTGTTCATCTGTTTCCTCAATTCCTAAGCATAATTCCTTTAGTCAGTTTGCATTGCAGATCCTTGCAGGGCCTGAACCACCATATCCTACACTGCAGTCTGGCACAACAAGTAAATTTGGGAATAGATGTTATTTATTTATTTATTTATTTACATTTAAAACCACCATCTTTAAAAATTACCACATATGTTTTAGGGATTGTTTTATTCAAACATGACCCTAAAAACAGTCTGCCTCGCATTTAAGACAAAGGAGAAAAACAAAAAGGCATCTTGCTCTGGTTCCACTATCTGTGCCACTGGTTTGTGTGTGTCACAGGTTGTCACCTCCTCACTGCTGTTCTGTACCTCATTTGTGCCTCTGTGCACCAATTGCACTGTCCCAGATAAGATTCTTGAAGTCTACATGGAGAAGCTTTTTCACTTTCTGTAAAGTGCAGATTATCACTTTGCAGTGTGCAGGTGCTGTAGGAGTGTTTGAGTAGATGCAGACTGTGATGTGGGCAATACTACTGTGGTACATAGATTTGGTTCAGCCTAAGTTACTAATTCTCAGCATGTTTTAATTTCTCTGATCAGATGGAGGTTTATTGTTCTGATTTCCATGCCGAGAGGGCAGCAAGAGAGAAGATCCATGAGGAGAAGGAGCAGCTGGCTGTCCAGTTGGCATACCTGCTAAAAGAGCAGCAAAACCTTGAAGATCTTGGCCGGTGAGAACAGACTTTGGCTGAGCTGCCTTTGGTTTTGTCTTGTTCCCCTGCATGCTGGAACTAACCAATGTTATCTTGGTAGCATCTCAGTTAAAATGCAAACAAGTTTGCAGACATTTATTTATTTATTGGTTAATTTGAACTTTGTAAAAGAAAAAGAAATCAGTTGGCTGACTTAGCTATTTTGATTTGCAATAGAATCTCAAAAGCATTTTAGCATAAGGCATGTTAGTTCTTGGATACTTCAGCAAGACTTCACTTGGGATGACTAAGGTAAATTCTCCCTGCTTCTATTGGTTGTGGCCTCAATTTTACCAGTGAATCTGCAGCTAAGTTTGCTGCATATGTGCCAGGGATATCTGTTGCTTCTCCAAGTAGCAGTAATAAGTGAGAATATGCATTTTCAAGTACTGTAATACTCTGTAGTTGCACCATTTTAGCACTCTTAGATGTAAAAGATGAAAAAAAAAATATTAATCATGTGTCTTTCACTCATCCTGTGGAAGCATGGATACAGGAAGATTGCCAGAATTTGAAGAATCGATCTGTATTTCCTGTTAACTGTCCTCTGAGCTCGTCCTCTTGCCTTTCTGCTTAAATCACAGTTTGCCTTGAGTGGCTGAGTCCTTGGAGCTTTCCAGAGGAGTGTCTTCCAAATTCATGAGTGTGTAGCAGCCTAACTCCTGCTGATGTCAGTTGTTTGACCCTGATTTCAACAGGACTCTTGCACTATCTCAGTAGAGCAGCAGTGTTTCTAGGTCCTGTTTCAGATCAGCAGTTGTGAACTAAATGCATGAGAACATGAGTTACTTGCAGATCTTCTGGCTTACTTTGAAGCCTTTTAACTTTTCTGGAGGCAAAGGGAAGATACCTTCAGTTTAGTTATATTTTGTTTTCAGAGCACTTTTAAGTAACTGCCCCATTTCTCTTCAGAAGCTCTTTGGCGGAGATGCAGAATCGCCATGGAGCCAGGGCACCAGACCGGGAGCACTCGCCTCGCCTTGTCCAGAGAGGTACTGAAAGCAGCCTCCAGCTCACAGGGCCAAGCCCAGCTGTGTTCAGTTTAAAACACCTTTGCTTGTCAGCAAGCGACTCCCCAGCTCCTCTATGGCTGGGTAGCTGCAGAGCTGCAGAGCTGCAGAGCTGCAGAGAATGTAATTCTCCGGCTTTTAGAAGCAAGTCGGTTCTCTTTCAACCATTAAACAAAATGAGTGGGAAAAAAAAACAAAACAAAACAAAAAAAAAACAAGTAACAGGTAATTATTTATCTTCTCTGCTTGCAGGAACTGGTAGTCAAGAATGGCCAGAGCAGCGGAATATCTCAATATACTCCTGTCCAAAATGTGAAGAAATTCTGCCCGATTTGGACACGCTGCAGATTCATGTTATGGACTGCATTAATTGAATAACGCCCTCTTGTTCTTCATGTACTGGAATTTCACCTGCTGAACATAATTTTTTTTTCTTTCTGCTAGAGTAAGTTCATTCTACATCCAGCAAAGGAGATTTTCAAGGTTTTTCTCATTTATTCAATGGAAAAACAGAAAATCTCTTACCCTACCCTGTACTCACTGAACTTGTTTTAACAAGAGTTAGGAAATGAATTCTTACAGGTTAACAACATGGACGCATTAAGAAACTCCCTGTGTGTCTGCTGCAATGAAATCTTGAAGGAACATTCCCCTGATGTGCTCTGCTCTTACAGCTACCCTGGGCTGGGCTGAATTGCTGGGCTGAATTGCTGCAGTAAAAAAGGAGATGAGAGATATGCCCATCAGTTCAACTACCGTAAGCCTGTAAATACTTCATCTCTCATATACTATTAATCAGGAAACTAATATGTTCAACAGCTGTTTGAGAAGCTTCCAATAAAATGGAGTGTTTCGTATTCATTGAGCATTTAAAATGAAGCCACCTCTTTCTCCAGATGGCAGTTTAGTTGCTGTCCTTGTGACCATACTAATCTGATGTTATATTTTTGATGGCTTACATAACTTCTTGCTTTAGTTGGACGTAGGTAAGGTTTAAGACAGATCACTGAGGTCTGGTATATGTAGCTCCTGGTGTACCCAAGTCACTGGGTTTTATAAAACTGTTTATTTTTAAGGTGTTGCCTTGATTCTTCTTTATTGTAATAAATTTATTTGAACCTGTACAGTATTGTGTTAGAGAAAGTTGAAATGGATGTAACCTAATTTAAAGAGAGGAGTATAATGGATTTTCAAATCTCAAAATAAATCTATTGCAAGTATAAAATTATCAATGCCTGTTAATATTTTGGATGCTGAAAGGGGAATGCCAGTATCTGTGGCTGGAAAGCTTATATAGAAAGAACAGTAGTGCATTAGTTCTGTTCTTGTCCTCACTTTTGATTTTTATCTCAACAAATAACAGTTCTTGGCATGCTGTTGTGTTAAATACACAACTCTTAGCAAAATGAGAACAAGCATGATCAGCTTATGACATGACTACAATTAGCAGTGGTGTTAGCCATGGAAGCTGAGCTATCTCAGTTTTCTTGTACACCAGAAATGATGAAAGCAGTTGTCACGTGAGCAACAGAAGGACAGTTCAGGCACTAAGCCAGGAAAGTGAGACTCAGTGTTGAAACACATTTCCTCACACGTCTGGCAGCCTCAGTTATGTATATGGAGTCATGAGGTCACTCTCCGTCACACGGCTTGTGAGCCATGTCACCTGTCCATAAGAAACACAAGACTGTACCCTGTGACCAACAGTGTCTGGTCTGTGGCCTCTACTGCTGACATTTCAGGGAGGAATTCCACTTCCATACGCATTGAAGTCCAATTGAAGAGATCAGCTTTAAAAAAAAAAATAAATCCATACTTTTTGTCATTGCTTGTCTTCTCTGCACTGTGTTCACTGAGTCTGTGAGAATATCCCAGCTCTGTGCTTTGCTGAAAAGGCATATTCACACATCTGGAAGAGGGGCTCTGGTTTGGGGATGGCTGTGCCAGCACAACAAGGTACATAGAAAACTCCACCAGGCCTCAGTTTCAGACAGCTGGAAGGGAAGGTAATGCATCTTTCAAAGTAAAGATGTCAAGCTGTGTTATGAAGTCCACTGCTATCCATCAGTGACAGCTAACACAACTTTTCAGATATGGGAGGAGAAATATTTTTGTAAGTGAACACGTGACACTTCAATACATTTCTGCTACTCTGAAGTTCAGACCAACGTTAAAAGGATGACACAACCCATGAGAGAGATGCATGTGCAGTAAAAGTAATATATATAGCTTATGTCATCTTGTCATCTTGAGCTAAGAAGAATGGAACAACTCACAGCTCCATAGGAGAAAGCCTTAGGGCTGCTGGATACCACAACTGAGTGTGCAGTGTTATAGCAGATATTCTGTACTGGTACATGACAAATTCTCCTGTCAACCTACTTCAATAAATAAGCACTTCTCCAGACTGTCCTGCGGATGATGGAGGAGAAAACACTGAACAGATCAATAGTGGAATTAGAAATAAAAAATTCAGTGACTTGGTATTTTGCTTCAGACCTGGCATTGAAAACAGTCTAGAGCTGATTAATTCAAAATAAAGATAAAAAAATGTGAGATTTATATTTCACTCCAAGCAGATTAATATTCTTAAAATTTACACACAAAAAATGTCTGTAGGTGTTCCTTGGAGCAAATAAAACATTCCTTCACTGCATTTTAGTGTATGAAGACAAACATTTCTCACGCCATGCTGCCAGTGAACTCTCAGCTACCAGTAGCAGGAAAAGTAATCTCTTTATTGCCTTTATAATTAAAGCAAAGATTTGTTTCTATTTTTGTGGTTGTCACTATTGTTCTAATTATCCGTTGTAAACTCTGGATGCCTGCTTTCTGTTAGCTATAGCTCACGCTCCCACACATCTTCATCCATAATTTCAGCTAATGCAAGAGCTGGCTGAAATCTACTGTGAAGAGATATTCATCGGCTTGGTTGCACCCTTCTTCATCAATTACAAGCACTCCCAGAAGATGCAATATCTTATTGACTTTTAATTAGCTCCTCACAACAGCAGGATTTATGGGCTTTTTTCCTTGAATCCAGTTTTATTACAGGAGCTATGCAATAGTTATGGATTCTGCAATGATCAAAAACTGATGGAAATGCAACTAGGCCAAAATCAAACTAATAGAAAGACAATAGAGCTGATTTCCTCTGAGTAGCGTTAACCTTATTAATGAAAACATAGAAAATCAATGTGAAAGGCCAGAGGAGGAATTACTTACGCATCTGTCAAGCCAAAATTAATCATTTTAAGAGGCTTCAGTAAGAGAAGAGGATCTGAGCACAGAATTACGAACAGGAAGACATGGGCATAAGCTGAAGTAGGTCTTCATAGAAAGATAAGATCTAATACTGCAAATCAGGAGGGACAAGGAACTGCAAATAATAACACCCCGATACGCTGAAACCTGCTAATGCAAGAGGGAGGATCATTTTCCTGTACCGTCATCATTAAGTACAGTCCATTTAGCACAGTGGACAAAAGACCGGTGAACGTGGCCAGCAGATGCTCATTAGCACAAGTTTAAGAGTAATTTGCTTTCCCTTAGATGAAAGATAAAACATGTTTTTGCTTTAACATGATTGGACTCTACGCGTTAATGGAATACCACCTGTCACATGCCCCTGTTTTAACAAGACACATTCCTGCTGTCACAGTGTGTCCCACAGCCAGCAGCCACGTGAGACACAATTCCCAGTCTTAAACCCAAACTGAGAAGAGGCCAGAAATAGTCCTGTGGTTGGATGGGAGATCCGTGAGCAGGAAAATACTGCTGGATTTGCAGACCTCAGTTTGCAGAGTGGGGCAAGCCATCATTGCTCCAATGAGATAGAAAGCAGGGTGATGTGGAGATGCCCTGTGGGGATCACACAGACCATAAGCAGACAAAACAGAAAAACCAATTCTTAACACCTGGAATTGATAAGTTCCAAGGCTGTTAATGGGCAAGGGGTAATCCTGTGCACTAAATCTGCAATTAATAAAATACAAAACTAACTTGTGTTACCATCCGCCTGCTTTTGGGAAATGCCTGGGTAAGAGAGCCAGCTATTTCCAAATATACCATAGCCTACCCAATGATTCCCACTCATCCAAGACAACCGAGGGGTTGTTTCACAGCCAATTGCTGCAGCTGCTGGGTCAAGAAACACAGGGCAACAACACATAGCTGTCCTTACTGGGATTGATACAAAGTGGTGCCTTCCAACCACCCAGCAGACCACTTCAGCTGCCCAACTAAACATTCCTCAATTTGCTTTGGATATTTCACTGGAACAGGTTGCCCAAGGAGGCTGTGGATGCCCCATCCCTGCAGACATCCATGTCCAGGCTGGATGTGGCTCTGAGCAGCCTGGTCTGGTGGTTGGCGACCCTGCACACAGCAGGGGGTTGAAACTGGATGATCATTGTGGTCCTTTTCAACACAGGCCATTCTGTGATTCCATTTGAGTGCATCTTCAGTTTTATCCTGCGATCTACAGGAATTTTTTCTTAACCCCTTCAGCTACCAAAGCCTGTCTGTCCTTAATTTATCCTTTATAATCCGGGAGTGGCACAGATGGTCACCAGTGACACTGCCTCTTTCTCCATAACATCTTGCAGGTTGGATTTAGTACAAGAGAAAGCTCATCCTCCTAAGAGCAATTTGAGGCGATTCCTGCGTATAATTCATACTACAAGGGAAAAGTCATAATTTAAAGGGAAAGAGACTAAAACAGAAGGCACCTGTATCATCAGGAATTTCAGTTTCCACACGATCGCTGTTGCCAGCCCCGAAACACAGACTCCCTGCCCACAGCCAAGATGGCGCCCGCGCCGCCAGCACTAAAGATGGCGCTGACGGAGAGAGCGGCGCGCCGGCGCGCATGCGCGAGGAGGGCGGAGCGCGATTGGCGTTTTGGCGGGTGCTTGGATAGCGCGGGAGGCGGTGAGCTGGGCTGTGGGGGGAGGCCTGGGGGAGAGGGATCGGGATTGAGATTGAGATTGAGATTGAGAGGGGAGGGGATTCCTGAGATCGGGGGTACGAGGTGAAGGGATCCGTTGAGTCGGGTCAGGGAGATTGGGCTGAACCGGGGATGGAGTCCCTTTGCGGAGGGAGGAAGGAGGGATCCCTGGATGGGGGGCTGGGACAGGGCTTTGTTCTCCAGGTTGTGGTCTTGTGCTGCAGGGGGCTCAGCTCAAGTCGGGCTTCACGTGTGGAAATACACGTGTGGCTTTAAGTTCAGCGCTCTCATGGGCAGCTGTGGATAGAAAGAGTGATGCTTGATCGAGAGTGGTGACCTCCGTTTGTAATATCCATCCCAACGGTATCCATTTGTTCTCCTGTGACAGAGTCTGTTTGGCCTTGGGGGCTCTGGAAGGAATCCTGGTGAGATCATGGACGGTAAGGGATGAAAGCACTGCCTTACTTGCAGTAGGGAAGCTTTCTGATGAAGTGCAGAGAGCTCTGTTTGCCTCTTAACAAAAGAAATTACTTTGTGCTCCCTCTGGCTTTGTGCATTGCCTCTTGTGAGGCTGCATTTGTGTTTTCCTCGGGGCCAAATGCTAAATATGTTTTGCAGTGTGTATGCGTCTCTGCTCCGTCTGTCCTGTTCTCCTCCCTGTACTTCTTTTTCATTTTTCTGTTTTTAGAATCATCTTTACAGTTGGAAGAGACCTTTATAGGTCATCTAGTCCAACTCCCTGCAGTGAACAGGGACATGCACAGCTTGATGAGATTGCCCAGGGCCTGATCCATCCTTGCCTTGAAAGTCTCCGTGGACAAGGCATCAACCACATCTCTGGGCTACCTGTTCCGGTGCCTCACCACCCTCGCTGTAAAAGACAAGGAAAAAGTCCAACCTATATCTACCCTCCTCAAGCTTTTTGACCTTTTGCTTCATGTTTCTCTGCTGCCCTGTTTGCTTCCTTGAGCAAAGTGAATCTGAGGATATGCTTTCTTGCTTGCCTTGCATCTTCCTCTTAAGCTCCTATTACCAAGAGCCATGTGGGTGTCACTCTGTCCTCTGCAGGTCCCACGGCTTTTCTTTGCAGCAGAAGCTGTCATAAGGCAGCTGGCCAGGAGGAAATTCCAGTGCTAAGTCTGCCAAGTTTTCTCCTGACCAGGCAGCCTGGGTCAGGAGCTGAGACTGTCCACAACAATGTATCTATTGGACCAGGTAGCAGGAAGCTGTTTTGTCTTCCTTAAGCCAAAGCTGAAGCAGTTTTTTAAAAATTCCATTCA